TCTTACTTATCCTTCAAGGTCCAATTCGCCTGCCACCTCCTCCAGGAAGCCTGTGTGGGTGCTGGGGACACAGGAGCAAACATGATCCACAAGGTTATTTCCCTCCCCAGTGTTCCTTGATATGAGTCATTTTGCAGTTGGTGATATTTATACCTTAGGTTGGGGTTTCAGTCATTCACGTAGTGACCCGTCTGAGCTCGCTGTGTGTCAAGCATCAATCATGCTGAGGGCTGGGGTAGGGGCCCAGAGATGAATGAGTAGTTGTCCCCCTCACCCCCAATGCCTGAGCCAGTGCCTGGCCCGGATCTCCCCTGTACTATTAGTTGAGGACCAAACTGCCACTCATGAGAAGCATGACGCTACCCCGGGGCTCCAGGGCTCCGGGAGAGGCCTGAACTGAGACGGGCTGAGATACACATGGCGGGGCCAGGTGCTGCCTCAGACACAGAGAAGCTCTTTCTCTTAAGGAAACGGAGCCTGGCGGGCGGCCGCCCCAGCCCAGGGCCCTCTCTGCAGCAGCCAAGCTGCGGAAGGATGGCAAGCAGACGTCCGGTGGCTGGACTTGGCTGGGGGCCCTGTCCTCAGATGTGTTCCTCAAGCTGTGCCCACCCCTGGCGAGGGCCAGAGCCACCTGGGGGTGCAGGGAGGCCGCTGGGTGTGCCACTGTGGAAAGGCTTGGGAGGCTCTGAGCGGGCAGAGGTGGTGGAGGAAGGCAGGCAGTGTGCTGGTGCGGGCGCCTGGCCGCCTGTTCCTCTGCATGGGCTCAAGAGGGTGCCACATGGGGAGAACACCTGAGGTCAGTGTGCTTGCTGGATCCTGATCTCTGGCCACTGGGAGGGTGCTGGCTCAGTAACCGCCGCCAAGGGCATTTGGGGGCCCACAGGCGGGATCCTAACATTGCCACTCGTGAGAGGATGACTGAGAAGCTGCCCTGTGGGGTCAAGATAAGGGACATGAAAATGTTTGCTGAGAAACCTCGAGTGGCGGTGTCCTGCTCACTTCACTGATGCAGTCACACGGCACTCACGCTTTCATGGGACAGAGCCCAGGCCTCCATCCTCCCAGAGCTGAGCGGGCTCAGTCTCCTGCCACACCCCTGGCACCCACGAGGTGGCACTGTTGGACCCACCATGTCCACCCCTCCGAGGCCCAGGCCAGCCTTCTCCCCACACTGTGACTCTGCCTGGGTCCTGGTTGAGTTGGGGTCATTCTGTTGCCCCGCCCTGCCTGCCACTGGGCTCACCTGGACAGCCCAGGGGTCTCCCTAATTTGAGTCTGGGTGTGGGGGAGTCTCATCCTCTTTTTCCTAATCCATCCTCCACTCCCCTGGGGACCCGGACATCAGCAGTCTCTCCCTGGGCCCCTAGCAGCCTGGAGGTCCAGAAGGACCCACTCAGGGGTTCTGTGCTGGTCACCAGGAGGGGAAATGGCACAAACCCTCCATGTGATTTCCGTTTCTGACCTACAAGTCCACTCGCCTCCTCCCAGCCGCCTCCCCTCTTCATCTGTGAAAATGGGGGGGCGGGGGGGAGTCCCTGAGACCGCACCCCCCACCCTATAGAGCTGTGAGGGAGAGGGTTCTTCTGGGACTCTCTCTCTCTCTCTCTCTCTCTCTCTCACCATTGAGGACGCTAGGAGGCTGGGGCAGGTGACACGCCCACTGCCGCGCGCGGAGCAGGGTCCCCAGCCCAATTCTCTGAAATGCGTCCTGCCCTGATGGGGTGGGGGTGACAGGGGAGCCCGTGTTCCCCGGGTGGAGGCTCTCTCCTCCGCGGAGGCAGGGGCCCCTCAGAGCCCACCTGAGGCCACGGGGGCCCCGCCGAGCTGTGACCTCGCTGGGTCTTTCGGGCAGGTTAGCTGGGGAGGCCGGAGGAAGGAACCGAGCCGAGCTCAACCGAGAGTCCAGTCCAGGGTCTTTGGAGAAACGGGTGTCCAGCCCTGGTGTCCCTCGGCCGCCTCGGGGTCCGTGGGAGCTGGCGGAACTCTCCCAGGGAGCTGCCTGTCACAGTGGACGCCCCTCTCCAGGCCCGGCCCCAGGGCCCCCTCCGACCGGTGGAGGAGGCGACCCGCCCGTGGGGACCCTCAGCCCCCCAGAGGCAGACCCTGGGG